AGTACACCAGATGAGATTTGGCAATGGCAGATTGGATGGAGTAATTGCAAATTTTGTCTTAAATCAAACATTCCTTTTAATACATATCAGAACATCACCTCCTATTTTTAAAAATGACAAATCATGAACCCATATTGGATTTGTGATCTGCTATGACTCCTAGTTCCTTTTCTACAGTGCTCCTGCCTAGCCAGCAGTTTCCCAGTTTGTTTCTGTGTTTTGTGGTTTTTTTAGATGAAGACCATTGTGCTTGTTTCTATTGAATTGTCCTCATTTCTTTTTGATCACATTTCTAACTTACTAAAATCTTAGAGTCCTACATTGGTCCTCTGGAATTCTTGCAATTCCTCAAAGCCTGGTGTCATTGCAAATTTTCTAAGCATTTTAGATGTAATTTGCCATCCAACTTAAATTAGTTCAAGTTAGTTCAGGATAAGCCCTTGCAGGGCTCATTTGTATAGTCCTCTCAGACTGATGGAGATCTTTGAAAACCTGTCCTTTGAGTAGTGGTTATGTCTCTTGCATGCTCATTTGATGGTGATTTCAGCTAAGCGCTATTTCACTTGTTTGCTTATAGGAATGTCTCATGGGACACTGTTAGAAGTCTTAATTATAGCAAACTATAGTGCACTATTGTTTCTTTGTTACTCACTTGGCCTTGAAGCACAAACTAGATTGATCTGCCAAGAACAAATCAATCATATCAATGTCAGCTGTTCTTGACAGCTTAGTAGCCTTCTGCTGATTTTTTCAATTGTTTTCTTTAAAAATTTTTCAGTATGGTTCTAGTATCTTTTCTAGGTGCTCATGTGGAAGGCCTGGCTTCTAATCACCTTGATCTTCCTTATTGAGGTACAGAGAGGCAATATTTGCTTTTCATCAGCCTTCTGACACCTTTTCCCGTACTCTCAAAGGTAATTACTGAGGGTTTGGATCCTTAAACAGTAACTTCATTGGCTGTAACTAACCAAAACAGTGTTCACTCCAGTCTTTCCATAGTCTGACCTGTCCTCTTTTCCCAATGCATAATGCTATTGCAGTGAGTATCTGTTAACTTCTCTGTGTATAGAAAGAAATTACATTTGACATGTCCTCAATTGCTGTCCTCCTTTAAATAGCAAACCTAACTGTTTTTTGGTATTCTGACTCCTAAAGAGTTTATATAGCCTTTTCTTACCTTTTGTGTCCCATACTGGGCTATCAAACCTTCTAACAGGAATAGTTTCTGTTAGCTAATCCTAAAGTGATCTGGAGTATTTGCATTCGCTTGTAAAAAGCTGGGCTTTCACTTGTGGGAGTGAAGGTCTGGAGTGTATAGGAACAAGAAGTGTTCAGCATTTCTCAAAATTGGACTCTATATAGATTCAGTCTCCTGTTTTTCTGTCAGAGAATTGGATTAATTTTTAAGGAACTATGTCTATTCTTGTAGCACATGTTGCATTTATATTCATCTTCCATTATATTAATAAGAGATAAAAATATAATTGGTGGATGGCAGAATTCCCTGGGAAAAACCGAAAAGAGCCCCATGTCAGTGATGCATAAGGGAATGCTGCCAACAAAAAGAAGCAGTCTTTTTTTTTTTTTTTTTTAGGCTGGAGTTTTGTTAGGCTTTGGTGTTTTGTTTTTTTTGTGTGTGTTTTTTTTTTATCTGCTGCAGACAAGAGGTCTCAGACGGCCCCTGTGAAGGAAGACTATTGTAAACTGTGAAATGCTCTCTTCCTTCCTCCGGAGATTCCAGTGGCAAAGCGATTCTGATGAAGTTTCCCCCACAGCTTAAGAACTTCTGCCAGGAGAAGGATGAGCACTTACCAGTAGGAAGGTCATAAAACAACTTGAAAAAGTGAATCTCCAGGAAAAGGTGTAGGATTTTCTGCCTCCTGGCTCCAGAGAGGATATAAACTGTCCTGGAGTTGTCTCATTCTTCTGTGTATGCAATTATAACAGCTGATCAATGTTTTAAGGGGGGGGAAAAAAAAGGCTGTCCTATCAATGCTCATTATTATTAGTTTGTATTAGGATAATATTTACAGAACCCTTGTGAAATTAGGCCCTGCTGCATGGTGTACTGTACAGGTGCATTAAAAATACCAGCCTTTGTAGGAGGGCTTACAATCTGAAGATGATGGACAGAGAAAGTTTGGCAGTCAGGAAATGTTTTCACTCCCAATTTACAGATGAGCAGCTGAGGCTAAAGAAATAGCATTCCTGATCTGATGCTACCTGGAAGTCTCTGGGAGTCTGGTTGTTCTGAGCAACGCTGGCTCAGGCCTGGGCTTGCAAAAGGAGTCTGTGGCATAGTCAAGAGTTAACCTCAACTTTCCTGAGTTTCTTGATGGTTTTGTGTTTCTATTTTTGCTAGTTCACACCTGCTAGAAAGTGTTCCCTCAACATATTCAGTATGTTGTTTTTAATCCTCACTCTATTCAGTAACTGACTTTGACTTGCTTCCTAGGACTTTGTTGCAATTTCTAGGAAACTCACAGAATCACAGAATCACTAAGGTTGGAAAGGACCTTCAAGATCATGAAGTCCAACCATTAATCCAGCACCACCGTGACCCCTAAACCACGTCCTGAAGCGCCACATCCACACGTTTTTTGAACACTTCCAGAGATGGTGACTCCACCACCTTCCTGGGCAGCCTGGTCCAATGCTTGACCACCCTCTCGGTGAAGAAATTTTTCCTAATATCCAATCTAAACCTCCCCTGGCACAACTTGAGGCCATTTCCTCTTGTCCTATCACTAGTTAGTTGGGAGAAGAGACCCAACACCCTCGTCACCACAATGCCCTTTCAGGTAGTTGTAGAGAGCGATGACGTCTCCCCTCAGCCTCCTTTTCTCCAGACTAAACAACCCCAGTTCCCTCAGCCGCTCCTCTCATAGTTTGATAGTAACTGTGGCTGTTTTAGAATATACTCTTTATTTTCTTTTCTGTGATGGATTCCTTTGGGTAGAGACTTACTAAGGTTCTTGACAAGTATTGCTTTGTGAAAAAAATGGTAATTGATACCAGCCGAGATCTTAGCTTTGAGTTCAGGAGCCACTGATTTTTGTTCTATAAGGACAGGCTAAGGCTCTTAAAAATAAGATCTCCAACATGCACTGTATAGACTATAACTATGCTTTACAGGTATGAAGTAGATGCTACCCTATGTCCTCCTATCACTGAAAACCCTTGTTGAGTCCTTTGAATGTCAAGCCTCAAAACCTCAGCCATAATGGTGAATCTTTGTCTGGAATATCAATTTGGCAACTGGACTGCCTGGTGGAGCCTCCATAGTAAGTGCCTGAGCGGACATGGAACAAGGGATGGGATGACATGGCTGATCAGGGCACAAGGGAATAATACCACTTTGTATGGAGCAGGGTTGGGAGTGCTGGGGAATGTGGACTTTGTAACAAGCTTCTAGTGTCATGTCTTTGCACAGGGTTGAAAACTGAGCTAATGTGTCTATTACTCATGATGCCCATTCCCTACTTATAGCACTCAACAGTACTTGTGTACTGTTACTCCTGTAACAGAGGCTAGAAGGATACTTAAATGTGACTGTCTAAAACTACAGTGTGGCAAGTTACTCACCTTATCACTGAAGTGGCATATGTGTGAAAGTGTGCATGAGGATCATGGAGTGGAGTGGTGCAGCCAGATGACTGCTGTGTAAGGAGTCAGTGATCCTCATGCGTACTGCCTTCTTATGTACCCAGGTGCACTCTGAATAGCCTGTAACTGCTTACCAACCCACCAGAGCAAAGAATTTACTCAGGCATGGGTCTCCATACGATGGACTCCATGTGACTGCTCTATGCAGTAGTATAATTAATCAGTGTATACACAATAAACATGCATGAATTCAGTATGAGACTAGTGTATTGTCTTGTCCACCTGAAATATTATATGCACCTGTTCAAGAATTGTAACTCTGTTGAGGTAAGGATATTGGAGCATATTGTCCAAGGGAGTCTTCAAAGCCAAGTCCATGTTCCAAGCCTGACTGCTACAAGTGACTGATGAATTTGTATTGTGAGCAAGACTCTATAAGAGTACTATCAATCCTGGGGCTGGCAAACCTTGTTGCAAATGAGAACTCTGCACAGTGTGCTGTGATCCACAAGGAAGGGCTTGTCCAGTGCTGCAGTTTCCATCTTTTACTCAATCTTAGTTAACCAGCTTTGAGTGTCGGTGCCTTTCTTACTGAGATCCCAAAAGAACCGGCACCTCCTTGGTACAAAACATTATGCTAGGGGATAAGTTGGAATCTGCTTATTCATACAACTAACTCAAATTAACCATCCTGCTCCTTCCTGATATCCTGGAATTGTGTGTTTCTGTCAGTAAAACTATGTAATGCAGCACTTGGCAGTTTGTCAGCACAGTGTGTCTTTGTGGGAGGGTTGATTTGGCAGGGGGAAGCATCAGGCTTAATGTGTGGGAGGGCCAGACCCTGGGATTTTCCTAGAAATTTTTTTCCACACGGAATTTCCCTTCTTGTGGAGGACAGGCCAGTTGAGAGAATAAAAGGATGTAGTAAAGGCAGGGGATTACACAGTCCAGACACTTGGAGCTGAACTTAATCTTGAAGTCTGTATTCAGCAACTTAGCAACGGAAGGCAGTCACTGAGAAATATCACAGAGGACTTTTGCTGCCTGGCCGCCACAACTGCAACCCGTGAGTATAAATGGAATGTGTTATTCTGTTTCATTGCTCAGCTAAAGGAAAACAGGACAGGTGGAATTCCGTGTTGGTGTTCTTTAAAAGCTGTTTACATTTAAAACTATCTTGATATTAAGAACTGTTTTAAAATTAGTAATTTCCTAAAAATGGAAATCTTATTTAAGTCCATAGAATAATTGTTAAAAAGTATGTATAAAAGATTGCATAGACAGTATTTTATATTGAATTGTAAAAAGTCAGTATTTGTTCTTTACAGATGTGTTCCTTTGATCTTTCGTAGCCATCTGCTTACAAGATAGAGAAGAGAAGAACTCTCAAAAACATGATTTGCTTGTGGTTCCTATCTCTTCTTGCTTATGGTAAGTGTGTATGTCTCTGTGTAGAAAACTAGTTGCAGGGTAATACTAGTGTGGCTGTTCTGTTTGACCTCAGAATTAAACAGAATTTTTCAGGCTGGGTTCACATAGAAAAACCTCTAGCTGCAATGACATGTTCCCCTGCTTGCCTATCAAATACATAATTGGATCCTATAGTTTGCTGTGAAGTCTGCAAAGCTTTCTGTGATCGAACGTAATTTCACAGGCTGAAGTCTCTGTTCTTGATGCTGACATGCCTGTTTTGAAGCTTGCCAGTTAATTGTTCATTAAAAGTAGCGGCAATTATTTTATACAGTTTCAGATATTGATAATTTGCAATATTTATAGAGCTTTATATATTCTGTTCTAGAGAGAGGGGAGGGAAGAAGTGAGACACCGACTTTTTGACATCTTTTCATTCTAGGACTTACAATACTGCAGGGAGTGAATTGTTGGACATACCATTACTCAGACACAAACATGACCTACAGGGAAGCAGAGCTGTGGTGCAAAAAGAGGTATACTAACATGGTTGCCATTCAGAATAAGGAGGAAATAAACTATCTCAATAACTTCTTACCCTTCAATCCGGGTTACTACTGGATTGGAATCAGAAAAATTAATGAGGTATGGACCTGGATTGGAACTAACAAAGAACTGACAGAAGAGGCAAAAAACTGGGCTTCAGGTGAACCAAATGGCAAAGGGAACAACGAGGACTGTGTTGAAATCTACATCAAAAGAGGGAAGGATAATGGCAAATGGAACGACGAGCAGTGTGAGAAAAAGAAGGTTGCCTTGTGCTACACAGGTATGGTATGATAAAGGCCATTCTAGTGTGCCCCTGTGGAGATGAGATGGTGGGTGGGATGATTTGTCTAACCTAGTCTTACATACTAACTTCCTGATCCTGTAAGCACTTGCACACTTACCATTACAGGGCTGAGGTTGTTCTTGTTCTGAGTGAGATTGATCTCACTTACCTTTTAGCTCCCAGAATATTATACAACTTTTACAAGCAAATCACCAGACCTTCTCTATAATCAGTGGAGAGAAACAGGCTCTTCCAGATGGTGCCTTTCATCCTGCTCTCAAGTGGGTGTCTCAGCTAAATAAGAATGGCCCTTTTGGAGGCATCTGTCTGCTGACTTTAGACCACTGGGTTAGACTAGACACTTTGCGTAGAGGTAGCTAAGGCTAGGTTAAAAAAAAATCCAAGTCAAATACCGGCCAAATTAGAGCTGTGGTGAGTTAATGAAGAACATACCTGTTGAAGATTTCTACCTACCCCAAACTATATTGTTCCTTTTGCATTTTAAATATCGGTAATATCTACCTGATAACAAGTAGTCATGGAGTTTCCATCCAGTAGAATCCTTTCCCTGTGAGCTAGTCTGCTGAAGGTGTTGATTTCTGAAATGCTTCTGTGAAATGTGATCTTATGTACCAGCCCCCTTGCTTTTCTTTTGCTATACAAAGTGCTCATTTAGTGCCAGAAAGATAACGAAAATCCCAGCCAGGTTTCATTAGTGGCCATTGCTGTTTCTTTTATAATGTGCTATATTATTTTTTTCCAGCTTCTTGCAACCCATCACTCTGCAGTGGCCGTGGAGAATGCATAGAGACTATTAACAATCACACCTGCCATTGTAACCCTGGATTCTATGGGCCTGAATGCGAATTTGGTAAGATTACTCCATCCTGCTTTTCAACGAGAGCAATGTTCATGCTAGCTGGTGTTCAGTTTGTCTGGCTTGTTGATTTACCTGCTCAGACAATAAGACTGACTGTGTGCCTTCTTGTGTTTCTTTGAAGTTGAGAGTTGTGATCCACTAAAGCAACCTGATCACGGGAGCCTCGAGTGCAACCATCCACTGGAGAACTTTGGCTACAACTCGTCCTGCACAGTTCAGTGTGAGGAAGGCTATGAACGGACTGCATTGGAATCTGTATACTGCACCTCTTCTGGGGTCTGGTCTGCCCCCCTTGCAGCATGCAAAGGTGAGCTTCTCAAGCAGTGATAGATGAGCTTTCTGCATTGTGCAGAGCTCTGTAAACTTCAGTGATGCTCTGTTAGTAGGTACAAATTGAAGTTCTGGCTTATTCCTTTGTAATTATGTGGTGAAGGTGCTATTTTATTGCAGCACACAGGTCTCTGTTCCTGAAGAGATGAAATAGGCAGGATGAATGTTCTGGCCCTGGTCTAGATTTTCTTATAGGGAAAAACTTTTCCCCCTCTTAGTGGAGAACAGGTAATGGAGATGATCTAGCTGTGAGACTGCTCACAACAGGGCAGTTACTCCTGACTGTAGAAATTCTTTTTTGAGGTGTTCAGCTCAGAATAAGCTACTGTTTGAAGCAAATAAAAGCATCAAACATCACCAAGCAGCAGTCAAAATGGGAAAATTTTTGACTGTAACTAGTTGCTGTCATGAGCTGCAGATGAATTTACAGCATTGCCTTAAGAGTCAGTCTTACATTTTGAGATCTTTCCACTCCACCACGATGCTTTCTGAAATGACAGCATAGTAGATCTCCTTTCTAAAGCTGCTTCCATTTAATGTATATGTTGCTAAGTTTCAGGAAAGAAAAAAAAAAAAAACCACCAACTTTTTATGGTTTGTTCCAAGCTAAGATCTGTGCTATGTCCCTTATGCTTTTCAGCTGTG